CGCCTCCTGGGGATGCTCCCGGAGGCCTCCAGACACTGAACGGCAAACGTATTCAAACTTACAAGCCGACGTCGCTCGAAGGGTCGTGAAGTGCACGGCTGTGCTTTTGTCAACCGCTCCCTTGGTCACTCTGCAGTGCATCGTTCGGCCCCTCCTATCGTCACGATTGGCTCAGCACGCCGCCCCCCAGCCCGCTGCCGCCTCCGAGGAGCTGGCCCGCAGAGACCGCGAGAGGGCAGAGGCGGCGGCGAGGCGCGCGGGGGCAGAGGGGCCGGGAAGCGTCAGCCCGCAGATGCAGGGCCGTCGTGCCTCCGCCGTCTGGGCCCTCGTGGCCTCGGCACTGCAGTCGGGGACCGGCTTGGCCTGATCGGCGCAGTACCGGGATGGGCATGATGCAGATGATGCAGACGGTTCTGGGAGTCACGTACGGGACGAAGAGCTGCTCCAGGGGGGCCGGCCCGGGGGAAGGCCCGGGGTCCAGGACCCGTGTACTCCAGGACCCGCCTCCTTCATGCCAGACAGAGGGGGTGATAGGGCAGAAGGGGATGGGGAAGGGAGAGCCCAGGGAGATGGGGGCGGGAGGGGTTAATGGAGGGGGGCTGAGACTTGAGGGGGTAGGCTGCGAGGGGGATGAGTTGTGAGGGGTTCCAGGGGCGGCACTACCTCCGTCTAAACATGCCCCCGTCGCCTCCCCCTCCAACCCGGGGAAGCTGGAGGAGGCCGAGCGCCGCGGCCCGGCCCGCGCACTCGCTTCCTCTCCCTCTCCCCCCCCCCGCAGCGGCTGTGGGGAAGCGCCAGACCGCGTGAGTTCGAGCTTTGCCTTTGCCCCCTCCCACTCCCCCCCCCCGTCGATCGCTCGGGGCTGGCCCCCCCGACCGCGCGCCGCTCGGCTGCCGCGGCCGCCCGTCTGCCCCGTCCTTCCGTCCCGCGCCTGCTGGCCTGCGCGTCTGTGCTGCTCCTCTCGCCGTGGGCCTGGCGCCGTCCTTCCCCCCCCTTGGCTGCACGCGCCCCCTCGCCCTGCTCGCGGTGGGTCACAGCCCGGGTCTCGTCCGGGTGCCTTGCGCGCGCACCACGGGGGAGCGAGCGGCGCGCTTCGGAGACCCCGAGAGGGGCGCTGAGGAGGAAGAGGAGGAGACCAGATCAGACGATCCGCTGCGCGCGGATGCCCGATCGTCTGAGCACGTTGACCTTGCTGGCCAGCGTTGTGTGACCCCTGGGCCCACCCTCTCTCGAGAGCGTGCGGGTCTGGCTCTCGGCAATCGGTTCGCCCGTCGTGCGCAAATCATCTGTTCCGAGTCCTCCTCACCGAGACGCTGTGGAGGAGGAGGAGGAGGAGGAGGAGGAGGAGGGGGAGGACGAGGAGGAGGATGAGGGGGAGGAGGAGGAGGAGGAGGAGGAGGAGGAGGAGGAGAAGGACAGACGCGGCGATCGCTCCGATCAGCGCCAATGTAACGTAAACGTGGAGGAGGAAAAGGAAGATGTGGAGGAGAAGTGCGAGGAGGGGGAGGAGGCAGCGGGTGGCGGCCAGGTCCTGCCACTAGACCAGACGACGGCGACGACGTAGGGCCAAAGCGAGCTTCGGTAAGATTCCAATGGTGCTGGATCGAGCCCTCGTAGGATTCAGTTTGAGCTTGACCTAGCTACAGCATGCTTCTATCATAACTGGACCGAACCTTCGTAGTATTCAAGTTGAGCCGGGTCCAGATATACGATTGCATTAGTGGTGGACCAATCCTGGCTAGGATGCTATTAGAGGTGGGTCCAGCTATAACCGGATATTATGAGATTTAGATGGGGCGACGACGACGCCAGCGCCAGCATTGGCGCCAGATCCGGCGGCGGCGTTGCTGTGGCCGTCGTCGCTCGCTGCTGGCAGTAAGCCGTTAATAATTCGGGTTACCGCCACCAACCATCCAAATCTAGTTTTTGTCTGTTGACGGTGTGTAAGCCCCTGGTCACGTAACTGGTCCAGGAATGTCGATATAAGTGAAATCCGGAAAAGACTGAAAGTTACCAACGCGGATCTAGTTGTTCGAGTACTGCTCGCGTTTTTTTGCAGGCCAGTGTCGGCGCCGTTGAGGTTGCAGACATGGTTTCGACGCTGCCCGATCCGATGATATGCCTAGTGATTATGCACCTGCTCAAAACTTATTGGTTTAGCCGGACAACATTTCGACACAGCAGGGTCCTGGCAGTGCCAGAATAGGTTTTCTCCGAATATACCGCGAGAAGAGCCCTCATCGCGGCGCCTTCGAGGTTTCAGACCGATGCGGTCCACTCTGCCCGATCCAATGATCTGCCCACTAGTTTGTGCGGCGGTTCGGCACCCTTAGACTTTGCGGAACAAGCTATTGAACGCAGCCAACTGTCTGCAGCGCGAAGCTAAGTTTGGTAGTATAGCTCGCGTAGTAAGCTGATCTCGGCGTTCTCGAGCTTGCAGACTGTTGCAGTCGACGGTGCGCGATCCAATGGTATATCGAATAGGTCTGCGGGTGCTCAGGAGCTTGAGATTTGGTCAAAAAACACTTCGGCGCAGTAGGGTCGATGCACCGCGAAATAACTTTGTCAAGTCGAGCTCGAGTAGTAACCGATCTCGGCGCAGCCGACGGTACCCGGTCCAATGGTATGCCGGATGACTGCGCAGTTGTTCTACATCCCGAGATTAGGTAGAAAAAGATCTCGGCTTGAAGCAGAACGGCTGCACTAGAAAACTCGTTTGTCGAGTTGACTTCGCATGGAATGTTGATGCCAGGTCTCTGGATGTTGCAGACTGATGCCGCGGACAAAGCCCGACCCAACCGTGAAGCGAAGAGCTCTGTAGCTGTTCTGAATTTCGAGTTCAAGTCGACAAACCACATGTCCACAGAAAATACGCCTCCAGGGCGCGCCACCGCCTGAACATTTGCCCCCTTTCAAAATGATGCGATTTGTTTAGGGTGGAGATCTCGGGCAGGAACCATATGTTGGTTACCCGTGGATCTTATGTTCGCCAGCGTGGATACCATGCTCAGTTTCTAGCACTATATGTGTGCTATCTAAGTGGAGCACACAAGCGGTGCAACCAACGCATGTGCACTAACGAGTTGTCAATTCCACCTCCTCGCGCCATCGCGCAATCGCCCCACCGACCCACCCGCGACCTTGTTTGCGAAACCCCCTCGGCGGCGGTGGCGATGCCTGCTTGGCGCCGGCTGGCGCATCGCCGCGGCCGCGTTGGCGCTCGCTGGCTTTCGCGCGGAGCGGCCAGCGAGTTTGGCGCGACCGACGCGGCCGTAGTGGTGCCGGCCGCGGGGGGGCCCTTTGCGCATCTCGCAGGCCGTTCTGACGCGCGGGCGTTTCTGCGCGAGTCGGCGACTCGGGCGGCCGCGGAATCGCGGCTGCATCGACAGCGGCAGACGCGGCGACAGTCGCGGCGATGCGCGCGACGACGATGGCGATGACGACGACAAGGCCAATGACGGAGCCGATGCTGATTGCGCTGGCGACGATGATGGCGCCCGCGCGTCGGCGATGAGGTTTGCGGCGGGATTTCGGCGCGCGCGGCCGGCCGACGGGCGCGAGTGGCCCTCGCGGCACCGCGCGGCAGGGGCCGCGCCCTCCGCCCCCCCCCCCCCCCGTCGCCTCCCAGCGCGCGCGCATTTGCGCGCGCGCCCGCCCCGCCCCATCATCGCGCGCGCGAAGGCCTTCGACGCATGTCGACCGACATGCGCGCGCGAGAGGCTTGCTTGGGCGCGTCGAGTGAAAATGATGCAGAAGCAACCAACTGTTTCTGCTTGTTTGAAGCACTATACCACGAGCCCAACACCTTTCGGGGAACTCGATCTTAAGTTTGTTTCGGTGGCTCAGGTGTTTGGAGGAGTCCGACATGCGCGCGCCATGTTTCGCGTGCGTCGACTTCGTTTCGCTCTCGCGCAAGGGATTTGAAAACGAATGAATCGTTGCAGCGGGGCGCGTGTTCAAAGTATTTTTCGGCGTGGATGGGGGGGCGGCGGCGGCGGCGGTGGCGGGGGGGGGGGGGGCGACGGGTGCTCTGGGCGAAATTACATGAGCTCACATTTAGAATCAGCGACGAGACAGAGCTATGTAATTCGCAAGCCCCCAGGGTGGAGGGCGGGGTCTCATCCTATTTCCTGCTTCCTGATTAGAAGGGAGAATATATGTGGGCAATCTATGCGGCGCAAGTAATTCTGCCCGCAGTGAGCCGTCAACTCCGCCGGTCGCGCAATCATCGCCCTGCCCGCCTGCGTCTTCGATGGCAGCGACCATGCGGCGGAGATTGCGATGGTTGCGCGGCGCCAGCTGGCGCGTCGCCGCGGCCGCGCTGGCGCGCGCTGGCTTGCGCGCGGAGCGGCCCGGGAAGGTGCGGGCCCGCGGCGACGTCGACAACGTCGGGCGCGACGATGATTGTGGCGGTGTTTCTGGCGACGATGACGATGCCGACGGCGCGGCCAACGACGGCGCCGACGCCGGTCGCGCCGGCGACGGCGACGGCGCCCGCGCGTCGGGAAGGCGGCGAGGAAGCTTTCGAGCGGCCGACGGGCGCAAATAGCTGCGATTACAATGATTATCGGGGATCGCGCCTCCGCCTGGCGCGCTCGCGCGCGCGGGTCGAACTTGGTGGACATGCGAAACAGACAGCCGTTTCCTACAGAATTCGAATACACGCGCCCTGTTATTATTAAAATATGGCGCGTTGCAGAGCCATGCGTCTCATTTTTTCTTTTTGCTTGATATTGAAATCCCTCGATCTTGGATCTCGTTTCTTGGCGAGCGCAATCGCCCCGCGCGCCCGCCCGCATGTTGGCTAGCAAAACCCACGCGATGGCAATGGCGATGACTGCTTGGCGCCGGCAGGCGCGCCCATCGCCGCGGCCGCGCTAGCGCGCGCAGGCTCGCGTGCAAAGCGGCGGGCTAGTCTGGCGCCTGACCCGCGCGGCCGCGGCGGCGATGACCGCGGGGGACTTCCCAGCGCGTCTCGCAGGCCGCGCCGACGCGCCAGCACTTCAGCGCAAGTCGGCGGCTCGGGCGGGCGAAGCACCGCGTTCTTTATACATTGGGTTCTGGACATCAAATGATCGCTGATAACCAAGCTCGCGCGCGTTACTTTATCCGTCGGGGTCGGGGGAGGGTGGCGACGCTGGCCTGCGTAGGACTGTGCGCATGGATTTTCAATATTAAAAGATGGGGCAGTACCGTATGCGCAGTGCATTATCTCACGGGGCGGCGATAAACCCCGACTTGGTGTAGGTCCC